CCAAATCCCTCAGGAGTTCCCCAGCCCATTCCCAAATCCCTCAGGAGCTCCCAGCCCCTTCCCAAATCCCTCAGGAGTTCCCCAGCCCATTCCCATCTTCCTCAGCCCCTTCCCAGCTCCATTCCCTTCCCTGGACCAGTTCCAGCCTCTCAATTTCCTTTCTTGAGTGAGGGATTCCTAAGTGGGGACAGGATTCAAGGTGCTGCTCACCAGTGATGAGTACAGAGGGAAAATGCTGAGAGTCTCATCACACAGTCAGCTCAGCCACCTTGGGGAGGTGGCACTTCTAGACAGGAGCCCCAGCAGGGAACACATTCCCTGCCAGTGGTGCCAAGGAAAAATGTAAAAAAAAAGGGAAATAAGTGAGGTGACAAGCTGGGAAACAGCCAACAGGGAAGGGTCAGCCCCCAGGCAGAGCAGGGAATTGATTCACTCCCCTCCCAGATGCATCTCACTGATCTCCTGCAGCACCTTGACAGAAAGCAGATACCACAGCGATAGCTAATTTAAAGGTATCAATAGAGAGTCACACTCCAACCTCCTGAATCCCAAACCTCTTCTGTGGTCACAGCATCACACCACACCCCCCCAGCCACAGGATATGCTGAGGCTGTGTGAGATTACACAAATCTGCTCTGAACTGTGACAGACTGGGGCCCTGCAAGCCATTTCCACGGTGTGGCACAGCTCTGTACATCCCAGGGATGATTTCAGGCAGTGACATCCGTGGATGCAAGCTTTGCACGGTTGCATTTTCTCACGAGCAGTGCAGATTCACACACTGTATCCTGCAGGTCAGAGCAGCTGCCTGGAGGAGAAAAATGGAATCAAAAATGTTCAATTTGAGCAGAATTCCATCACCTGGATTTTTAAAATGGAATGGAGTTTGGACCTGGGATGTGCTTAGGGATGTGATTTAGTGGGGGATGTGGCAGTGCTGGGTTAATGGTTGGACTCGATGGTTTTGGAGTCTTTTCCAACATTAATTATTCTGTGATCTCAGAAAATAAATGATAACGTAATCGGCGGTTGAAGAGTTATTGTATCTGCCTGAGATGCAGACAGAGAGATATAATTCCTGTTGTGACCAGCACACCTCTAATCTAAAACTGTTTCAGAAGTTCCATTTGTGTGGATTTTTGCTCTGATTTGCAGGGAAGCTCCAGCCTGGGTTAATAATACAGTGGCAGCACTTCACAATGCTCTCCACCATCCAGAAGTAGCTATTAAACTGTCAACAGCACTAAAAGATGATATTTTGATGGCAATGGATAGGAACCCCATCTCCCTGCCCGTGCTACTCAACATTTCTGCAGCTTTCAAGCGCAGTCAAGCATAATTTGTCACCTCCTTGCATATGTGACACTGTCTGAACAGGGACTCTGAGCTACAACTCTGTCAATCAGTTTTTTTTCCCAGGCAAAACTCATGCAGCAGCACCAGACAACAATTCCCCTTGCCTCCCCCATGCCCCTTGCACTCTTTGCTGTTCACCATCCACCTGGAGACCTCAGGAGGGGTGGCAGGAGGTGCCAGGAGCTGGAGCTGATCTGGACCTGCATTATCCCCTGCCCAGCTGCAGCCAGAGATATCATTTAGTGCTCACAACCAGGGGTGGATCCTGCTGGGAAATGCTTCCAAGGGCTGACTTGGCCAATATCTGCCTGGCTATCTTCTTCCTCACAGCCTAACCTTTCCTTTCATGCTGCACACATCCTAAAGGACATTGCCAGCATTCAGTTCAGGTGAAAACACTTTTTCTTTTTTGGCCGTTGTCACAAGTCCGCCATAGGAGGGGGTGACCTCAACAGTGATCTCTGTAATCACCACCTCCAAAGTGCACCTGCAATCTGGAAGAGATTGGTTTGTGCCAAAATCCAGCAGATAATCACAAACCCTTCTGTCCCTGCTGCAGTTTTAAGATGGTGATCAAAGTCCTTCAATCCCACCTACATCAAACACTGAATAAACCTGTCTAGAGCTGGAATATTAGAGGCAGAAATAAGCTTCATTTATAATTCTTAAGCAAAAACAAATTATTTCATGTCCTTGTGCCCCAAGTTGTTTTTCTTTCTTATCCTAACTAGAATAATGAGAAAAAGGTGGGAGGAAAAGTGCATCCACCTGGGCTGCTCTAGAAAGGCTCAGCAGCAAACGTTTTGAAGTCTGCCATGAAACATTCATCAGCCTCATTTGCATTACAATGTCATGGTTCTCTGGGTGAAATCCTGAAATTATTGCAAATCTGTTTTTTAATTTATTGAAAGATTGCTAAAATCACCACATGCAGCTGATAGGAAGGTAGTGGAGAGTCAAGGAACAACATGAGCACAATGTAATTCTAAAAGGATTTAAAGGAATCTGCCCTTACGTTCCCTGCATTTTAAGTTCTGTAAACTTTGTTGTTTGTTTGTTTGGAAAAAGCATATTTTCTAGAAAGGTATCTAAGAAATGCAGAGGTCACTCAGAACATTTTTGTAGTAGGTAATCACCATCTCCAAAGAAATATCTACCTCAGAAATACTTCGAGGTATTTTCTCCTTGAAATACCCTTGGTGTACTGTAATCAAATTAACTCTCAGTATTCTTTTGGAAAACAAATCAGGCTGAATACATGTTTTTAATTTTCCTTATTGAGTTCAAATAATTTCTGAGTAGCTTTTTCTATAGCTGTATTTAGAATGTGGATACCAAAATGAATTCAATATTCCAGTGCTGCTCTTAGCAGTATTAGAGAAAATGATGTAAATCTTTGTTTACCCCATTAAAGCATTACATAATTAGACATGTAAATTATTAAAAATCCTTCATTGTGTTCCATCATTAGTCTTCTGATCAATTATCAGATGGATGATCATTCAATTGTTATCATATTCAGTTATTAATGATTTCTATATGACAAACATCGAGATGAATGATGCTACCACTGATCCTTTTAAAAATTCTCAATAAAAATTAAAACATCCCAGTGAAAATACCACCTTCAAAACATAATTTCAAAAACAACACTGCGATGGATTTTGGAGTGAATTAGGGATTTGCTGTGCTTTTCCCCTCCCCTTTCATGCTTAGAACAGGAACAGCAACATTTTGGCAAACAGGTGTTTGCTGTTTCAAAGTCTGGGAGGTCAATACAGAAATATGTGCAAGCAACAGGTTGGGACATTTCCTCTTAACTTTGCTCCAGAACACTCAGAAGGAGGGCGATAAATTCAATATTTCGATGAAGACAATGAGCTGTTCCCAACAGCCAGTGGCACAAGCGCGACACGACTTGTCCCCGAGCGGCGCACCCAGGTTTTGCCCATGCCAGGATTTTGCAATCCCATTTTTTCCGGGACACGGAGCACGCAGCGAGCGGCTCTGCTGCCGGAGCAGCTGCTGGGGCGGCGGAGGGTGAATAATTGATGCGCTGGCAGCTCGGGCTGTCGCTGTCACCCGGCGGGGCTGGCCGGGCAGAGCATCCCGGGGATGCCCCGGGGAGCGGCTCCGCGGCTGCCGGAGCGCTCCTTTGTCACCCGCATGCACCGCGCCGAGAGCCGCCGGGAAACGGGGATTTGGGGTGAGTTCGGGCAACTTCGGGGGGTGTCTGAGCGTCCTGAGACCTCCTGTCACCCCTGTGCCAGCCTTTCTGAAAGTACTCTGCGTTCTTTTGGAGTTTGAAGTGAGTTAAAGCCCGAAAAGGCAGGTGGTGCCTTTCTTTTTCACTCTAGGAAATGTATAAACAGTTCCTCCAGAGCTGGCACTGAAGTTACGGTGTCCCTGTCGCTGTCACCCGCCGGGGCAGAGCATCCCGGGGATGCTCCTGGGAGGACACGCAGCCCTTTGTCACCCCCTGCACTGCGCCGAGAGCTGCAGGGAAACGGGGATTTGGGGTGAATTCAGGCAATTTCGGGGGGTGTCTGAGCGTCCTGCCAGCTCCTTTCGCTCCTGTGCCAGTCTTTCTATAAATAATCTCCATTCTTTTGGAGTTTGAGGTGAGTTAAATCCTGAAAAGGCAGGATGTGCTTTTCTTTTTCACTCTAGGAAATGTGTAAACAGTACCTACAGAATTGGCTCTGAAGTTACGATGTCCCCGTCACTGTCACCCACCGGGGCAGAGCATCCCAGGGATGCTCCGGGGAGCAGCTCCGCAGCTGCTGGAGCCATAAATAATCTGCCTTCTTTTGGAGTTTGAAGTGACTTAAAGCCTGAAAAGGCATGATGTGCCTTTCTTTTTAACTCTAGGAAATGTGTAAACAGTACCTACAGAACTGGCGGTGAAGTTATGATGAAGCTGCCTGACATTATCTGGTGGTATTTAAGTTTTCACCCCCCCCAGTAGTTTTAGCACACTACTAAAACTAAATATATTTATGTTCCCTTTACAATTTTCCCAAACTGAGATTCATGGAATTCAGTGTCAGATGTGAGAGCTTGAAAGAAGTTGTGTTTTCCATAAAAAAAAAGTTGGTTTCCTGTTGGAAGTTTAACTTATGGTGTTGCTTTTATTTAGATACATTTCCCACTGGGTTGAGAACATGACCTGAGACTTGCATTAAGTTCTTAATTAATAACTCTGCATTAAATGTTCTATTTTACTATAAAGTAATGGAAAAATAACTTAATTTTCCTAAGGATAGGAAGGAGATATATTTTGAATATAAAGCACACGGCAGGATGAACTAAAGCAACTCTCACCCCTTCTTTACAAGGTGAAAAACATCAAAGTATTTTTATTTATTAATCATTAACAGCAAACCTGCTTATAATACTTGTTCCAACTGTTTGAGTGCTGTTATTTTCCAGCAGTGACCCTGCCAGCAGTGCCTGGGAGCTCTCAGGTAACTCAGTCCTTGGCACAGTTAAAAATTGATACAAAAGCAATCAGCTCCCGAGAGCAGAGGCCATGGGTAGGAGCAGGGATGTGACATGAATCATGAATAAGCCTTGATTGTGAATAACAAGTTCCCTCTCTTTTTATTTGTTTTTAATTGCATAGCCCACATTCTGCTGCTTCTGCTTTATTTCCTTTGTTTTGATCACAAAAGCATTTCTTCTTTGGCATCCAAGGCCCAGCCACATTTTGAAGGGATACAAGTCCAGCACAATGATATCTGGTGCTAACAGTAATTAAATGTCCATGTTAAAAATAAAGAAAAAGCAACAAAAACCAAGAGGTGAAAGCAGGGATATGTAAACACCAGGAGATATACAAAGAATGGATGTAATTCTGCACTCCTTAATCATGGGAGTAATCCTTATTCGGGAAAATAATCCTGCTGCTTTCAAAAGGCATCAGTGGGTGCTGGAGCACCAGGCCCAGCTTTTCCAAGGAGATAACAATGTTTTACCTGTATTTTTTCCTGCAGTGCAATTTTAGCAACACAGCTCGTGGTGATGTGTTTGAATGCAGTACTGATAATATTAAATTAGGCTTTACCTGATGTCCGTTTTGCCTCTGCAAGTGTGAAAGAGAAAAATGGGATAATGGATGAGATGTGGCAGGGAGAAGGTACAAACCCCACGTGTTTTATTGGCTAACCCTGTTCCCTGTGTTTGCAAATCACTTTTTGGTCTATGGGATGGATCAAATTTGCTTTTTTTTTTAGGATAGGATGCAACTTCAGCACAAAAAAAACTCCTGATATCCCTTAAAGTGTATTTGGCTCTCCCTAAAAGTGATGTTGATAAATATTGTCCATCTGATTTAAATACAAGGGGATCATGATAATATCTTGGGAATGTTTTTATTGCTGTGAAGCTCTGAGATCTTGCAGGAATGAGACATTTGTATATAAATGTGGTGGTTTTGTTGCCTTTTTCACCAGCCCAGCTCAGCATTTCTGAGCTTTGCCCTCACAGCCTGTGTGGTGCTGCTCTGTAATCCAGGAGGGGCTTTAGGAGCACCTGAGTGCCCTTCACCAGGCAGAGCATCTGTTAATGAGGAAAACTAATTACTTAAAAGCTTTCACTGGGATGGAGTTGTGAAGTATAAATAGTCATGAACTGCTCCTGTATTTGTGCTGCTGCCAGCACTGGTGGGGTGGAGGGAAGTTACCCTTTGCACTCACTGCTCTGTGGGGAGAAAATTATCTTCTGAGCACCCAAAAAGAGAGAAAAATAAAAAAAATTACAAGTAAAAATGCACTGGATGATGATTCCAGGTGGTGTTAAAAACTTACTCTGAAGTGACGTTGGCATTAAGTCTTTATTGGCTTTTTATTGCCCACTGAGGGCAGAGCCCCACACGCTGCCCTGCAGGACAGAGCTGGGCAGGGCAGCAGAACATGGGAGAGATAAACAGAATAAACAACCTGGAAACCAGCACAGATCAATTATGGCTTCTGCTTTGGCTGTGGGGCTGACAGAGACTTTCTACAATCTGGGAATCATCAATACCACAAATTCCGACAGTTTTCCCTTGTCCTCCACGAGTCCCTCTGCTGTAAATCCTCCAGCCAGGCTGGAGGAGCAGAGTTCCCAGCAGTCCTTCCTTGTTTATGCTCCAGCCCAGCCCCAGTTTTCCCCCAGGGCATTTTCAGGGGTGTTCTTCTCTCCTGCAATGCTGCTCCTGTTTCCTGAGACACTTCTGCATCCCTGGGGAAGGAATGCTGAGCAGAGACCAGCCCCACTCCCACCTCTGTGTGTGGTTCCCACCCCAAACCTGTCCCAGATTGCCATCAGCGCTGTGCATTAATTACTGAGTTAATTGGGTGATGCTGTAACACCTCAGCCACACAGCTGGCAACCCACTGAGCAAACTCCCCTGGGAATTATGCCCTGGCCACTACCTGTGGAAAGGGATTCTCCTTCCTGCCCTCCCTGCAAAGTACACACAGCTCTAAGAGTTGTGCCCCCAATTGTTGATGTTGTGTTACCATTAATAATTATTAGAGTCCTGCACAGGCTTGTATCACAAACAACTAAAAATGTCTTCTGTGCCTCTGGCAGGAGGTGGAATAAGGTATAGAAACTTTTGCTGGTGATTAAAGCCCAGCAGTGCAGGATTTATGAGGGGCAGAACAGTGCAGAAAATACACAATAAAAGTGACAAAATCAGCTATTGACAATTACTTTGTCTGTCTTTTGGAAGAAGAAGACTGGAGTCAACAGAATATAGACATGTTTTCCCTTGTGTAGGATAAATAAATGGCAAAAAAAGAAGTGTTTTAGCAGCAGAAGGTCACTCTGGCCACAGTCCCCATGGGTGCTCTGGGACTGGGTTTCAGATCTCTTTGGGTTTAATTGATTGCATTTAGTTGTCTGCTTCTATTGCTCTGGATTCCTAGTGCCACTTGGAGCTGCCAACATGGAAAATGGATTTGGGAGGCTGAGCACAGACAGCTGGGCAGGTTGGGGAGATACCTGGCAGGGCTTGGCTTGGAAATTCCCACGAGAAGCAGGGCAAGGCAGGAAGCAAAGGCCACACATGGAGAGCCTCTTCTGAAACCAGCTGCTGCTCTTTGGAGCATTTAAAATTATTTTAAAAATCCCTTTCTGGATAAAATCAAACTTTAACAGGCAAAGTTCCTGTGCAAACTCTTATAGAGCTAGAGAACCTATTTTTGGTGTAGTTTTGGTTGACAGGCCACTTTTAAAAACAGATTATAATGAAAGCAAGGTTTAATCTACATTAGGTGGCTGGGTCTCACTTTGCTCAATTTTATGTGGCTGAGGGACTAAAACTGAGCTGCCCATGAAATCCCTGACCTGCATTAGTTGTCAGCACTGCAAAAGCAGAGCAGCAGCCTGCAGGGAGGGTCTGTGCCAGCCTGCAGGTGACTGCACCAAACTCCTCTGGTTTTCAAACAGCAATGGAAGCAACGTGGTTTTATTCCCATTTTCCATGCCTGGAGCTGATGAGTTCCCACAAAGGGCATTGTCCCAGCGTGTGACACGCAGGGAGGGCACTGGGGGAGTCCGTGGACAATGAAATACTTGCTCCATGGAGAATGAAAGAGTTGATGTCAGTGTGCAGCCTGAGAGCTGCCTTTGCCTGCTGAGCCCAGAACTGAACCACCCGAACTCTCCTTTCCCTCTTTTTTCCTCTCATACCTCAGCCTGAGTTTCTCAAGGCTGAATTCTCTAGCAGGCAGACGCTGCTTGCTTTGGGTTTTTTCATTTCTTTCCTTGCCTGCACATTGCCTTGAACAGCAGCTCCTGACCTACTTCTGTCTTTTAATTGCTGCTGCAATATGAATTTTAATTCCAGCCAGAGTCCAGATGTATTGAGGATGCACAGCACATGCCAGGGCCAGGCCATTTATCTCCCAGGCCAGTCTTTCCAAGCCCTTTGAATCCAGGGACCCCTTAACCTTTCTGAAAAAATATCTGAAGCCATCATCACGTATTTCACTGTTGTCTGCTGATGGGAAATGCAGATAATAACTGTTAATCTAAATGCTAATATGTATTTTCTCTGGCAGCTTAGTTCGTTTTACTGTTCTTTAACCTTTGGCTGAAAATATTAATGGAGATGGATGTGAGCCTTGTGCTGCCATCCCCCAGAGCCCAAATGAACCTGGGCAGTGGCAATTTATAGGTCAATTTATATTTTTATTGTTATAGTTAATGCTTTAT